TCATATGTTTTATGACTAAAGTTTATCTGGAGTTGGGCATACCCTTAAGTTAGGGCAGTCCGGTTGTGTGTACTCTTACTTGTTTACTTAAGGCCTCGTCTGATCCTATCCCATAAGCGAGGGGGGTTACCACGCAGAAGAACTGAGTGATCTAACGAACTACTTGGGCAAATGTATGTGGGATGGTGAGAGATGCATGCTCATGTATGATTGTAGGGTCTCACTTGGGGTGTCTTTTCGATAGGTTAGTTGCTTTAGATGCTCGCCAAGTGCTGGAGCCATAGGCAGGTCAGATGGATGTTGGGAGGGAAAACTTGGGATCATTGATCCTGAATCGTTAAGCAGGTGTCGGAAGTTAGTCCCAAGTGTAGCTTGCTTTGTCTTGTTGCTTTTTCTGTTTCGTATAAATCTTGGCAGCCTCCTGTTCCTACGGGAAGCGCTGCCGAAATTTCTACCAATCTGAAGGAGTTGTTATTTTTTGACTCATAGAAATTATGAAAAGGCACTTTTCCTACGGGAAGCGCTGCCGAAATTTCGTAGAATTTGGGGAGTTAGAATGTTTTTCAGCTGGGAGTTACTTAGTAGACCTATCCTAATTAGAGAAGATGCTTAGTGACCTGGTACTAGTAGAGGAGCTAATATACGACCCTAAGGGGATGTTCTCCCCTTGGCACAAGCATAAGTAATATTTCCCTTTGGCCTGTACTGTTATGCAAGTTTCCGTGTTGTCACTTGAGGGCTTGATCTGTTCGGCCTATTCCTTCAAAGGATCATTCTTCTGTTATCGCTGATAACAGGTCGGTTGCCAATTCGTCGGTCTACGACTCATCCCCAATTCACCCTCAATACTCATCCTAAAGAGGCTTTAGCCCTGGTGATTTTATCTGTTTTGTTAAGGTTTCACCCAAACTTTTATTGAATGGCCATTCAACAAAAGTACTGAGTACTTGCTTATGGTTGGTTGGCTGGAGGTTGGGGCTTGCATGGCTAAAGCACAGGGTATGAGTGGAGAGGTTGGTTGGAGTTGACCCCGTGTAGCATGTGGAACTTTGCTTGATTCTGTGATGTGATTGCAGGTATGTATGGAAGAGTATCATCTGAGTTATGTTGAGTGATCGTGTCTTGGATTCAGATGGGCAACCCACATAGCTGTCGTGAGAGTGGACTACCCCACAACCCTTGTGCTTGAGTGAGACTGATTTGTACCTGTCCTGATGAAGTAAGCGTTCGTTCGGGTAACCCCCACAGGGCTAATCCCGACAGTGCGCTTTCTGTTGCTGTTGAGAACAATTGTTTTTTATTATTATTTAGTTACTGACTTCCACTGCGTAGAGTTATGGGTCAGATACTGAAGGGACTAGGAGTTGTTATGTTGTGGCGTTGTTTGTGGTGTTTGTTTCGCGTGGGGTTCCAAGCGTTATGGGTGAGTAAGCGTGAGTGCTGTGGTGTAACGCGTGGGTGTGTAGTGCGTCCTAGTCGATTGACATCGAGTTGCGTTTGGGACTTCAGCCCCCAGTACGGCGATTCGCGTACAAGTTCGATTTTCGGGCGTTCGACCATGCGTACCCCCTATGCTACAGCGAGCGTGAAACGCCCTCGGCTGGGCCACCTCTGCAATTGCATACGAAAAGCTTTCGCATGTGGTTCAGTAGCTCGGCAGGGATACGCCCACGTAAGGGATGGTGACAGCTCCCGCAGGTGGAGGTAGCGGTGCCTCGCGTGACTCTGTCCTGTCGTAGGGACTCGCGAGAGGTACGGCTGGCACACTCGGCCGGAGCGGCAAACGCCCTCCGCGACAAGTCCTGCATTATCCTGCGTGAAGCGGCCGGGAGGGTCACCGTGCGGGACCGATGCGCTCGACAACGATCATCACCATCATTTCATCATCACTATCATCATCATCATCGTTGTGTTTTCTAAGGCGCCTGGCGGTGCACCGGACCACCAAGCTGCCTACCGGGTGTGAAAATGCCTGGTTGAACCTGGGCGTTGAGGCCACCTGGGACCTGGACCAGATAATCCACCAGGCCAGTGTAGGGCAGCCGGGCTGTCTCCCGGCCCAGTGTGGGCATCCTCTGCACCACGAAAAATAAGTCAGTTTTTCGCTTGTTATGATCTTGGCTAAATCTGAAGTGCAAATAAACAAGGAAAGACAATGCCGTTCGATTGCAAAGCCCTTGAAGAGAGAGAGAGACAAAGGAAAAAGAAAGAAATAAGAAGATGTACACCAGCAAAAGACCATTACAAATCCCCTATCTTATTCTTCATCAAATACAAATAATAACAACGAATGGCTGAGCCAGAACCAATATCTGAAGTTTTCTCTTCTTGCCAGCACAACATGAGTTCCACCATAGCCATGACCTTCACCTCCAACCTCCTCCGGTAGGTGATGGCTATGGCGGACTACTAGGGGCCCAACCCCGATGTTCAAAAGACAACGCAAAAGCAGCTATGTCCCATACACTCAGGCCGCCATGCCTGACTTTGTCATGAAGCCTTCCTGATCCAGCACATGCCTCTTGGGCGGTGAGTTTCCAGGCCGCTCGGCCTCCTCAGCGTCGGGTACCTTCCTCCTTGAGGAGGGAAAAGTTATTGCAGGTCTGATATCGTCCGCTCACACCCTAGACTCAGGCTACTTGGACTGGTACCCGCCTAGGCCTAGGCCTACCGGTTTCTACATGCCCACAACCTCTAAAAGCATTGACTTTTTGCATGGTAACCCCGGACCCGGACACCGGACACTTCCGGACTGTCTTTCGGAACAGTGTCTGGACCGGTCCAGACTGTCTGGTGATCTGGACATCACCGGACACCGGACAGTCCGGACCAGTTCCC